CTAAAAATTGTGGACCAAGGGAAAAATCCTTTTTTTAAAAAAAAAAAAAAAAAAAAAAAAAAAGCGAAACTCAAGCCCTTCATCTCCAAAGAAGCTCTCCCTCTCCTGGATGTGGGAGGGGTAGTCTGCACCGACGTGGGTGAAGACCTTGCCCTTTTGTAAATTCAGCAGCGATGCAGAAATGCCCACAGAATGGCTAATACTGCAGTCTGAACGCAGTGATGTGAAATGTCACCGAGAGGTGGAGAGGGAGAGAGCCGGGAAATACAAGATGACATATAAAAGAGGGAGAAATTGCAGGAAATTGCAGGATTGAGAGGCCAAAATGGCTGCTGACAGCAACAAGGGTGATGAGGTGATCATGAAATTGCAGAATTTCATTCGGAGGATTTTTGTGTTTGAGGGTAGCTTCATTCACCTAGCCTCACGCTAGGTGACTGAAAAGGTGAAGCTCGTTGGAGGAGGAGAAAAGAGAGGAGGAGCAGAGGGGGTTAGGAAGAAACGATGATGTTGGAGGAAGAGAGTGATGGGAGAAGAGGAGGAAGGTGTTTTAGAGCTTTCAGGAGAAAACAGAAATAACAGCTGCCATTAAACGACGTCTCATCCAGACTGTTGGAATATTTTGTTTACTACATACACCTGTAGAGACAGAAAGGTGTCAATTACTTCCTTATTTTAGACTTTTTCACAAACCGTTGCTGTTTATTTTTCAGTAAATTTTAACCTTTCTATATAAAACATTGTCAGAACCAAAGCAGCTCAATCTTTCCTGTACATTTTCCTAAATTATATCTCCAAGAAATTACATTTAAGTCTGCAGACAAACTCATAAATGAAAACATAATCAAATATTATTGTATTAGCAAATTATTTTATATTTATTAATTTTTTTTGTAGTTTAAGGAGTTTTAGCTCATCACAATAATTTCCACTCTTGAACTAGTGCAGTTGTTTTTATTATTTGTCCTGACATTTAGTTTTAATTCACAGTTTGTTTTTTTTAATTTCAGATCACTTTTATGTACACCTTATAAAGAGTTTGATATATTTTGTACATAGTGCAGTTCTGAGCTCTACTGAATCTTAAAATTTTAAAGTATTCAATATAAGAAATAATTGATTAGTTGAATGAAAATAGTCAGTTACAGTTTGGAAAAAGTTCTGCTTCAGGTTTTGTGTTGGTTTTATACGAGTTTCCTCAAATCCCTACATATTAATTTAAGCATGGATTGGTTTCAAAACCTCCAAAAGCAGGTTTTGTGCCTGCCGGGTTGCCAGGCGACGGGCAGGGTTTGGCTGTGGTTGCCAGGCGACGGGCAGGGTTTGGCTGTGGTTGCTAGGTAACCAGAGAACATTAACTTAATGCCAAAAGGTTTTTTTAAGAAGCAACTGAGACTCAAATGGAAGTACAAAAATGTCCAAAACGTAAATTTTCCCCTTTAAAACACCAACAGTATATATATTTTTTCATCTAATAAATTAAATTGTCATTTTGTTTCTGTTAACTCAAATTTTTTTGCGAGTTTAAAAAACAGAGAGAGGTTAGAAAAAGTTACAGAGCTTCAGAAGATTCACGGCAGCATTTCTAGGCAGGTAGGATGAGGAAGACGAGCCCCTCTTCCTCTCCCGGTTCAGCCAGGTGTAGGAGTCGACAGGCGAGTCGCCACGCATGGCCGACCTCCTGAACACTTCGCCTCCTGGACGACCTTTCAGAGCGAAACCTTGTGGCGCGAGGCGCTGTCGGAGAAAACCAGTAAAACCAGAGTCTGGAAGTAATTGTTACTCAATTACATTTACAGGAGTAATTTTTAGGAGTATTTTTACTTCACTATTCTTTGAGTAATTTTATCGCTACTCTTAGTTGAGTAAAATTTCTGGATTCTCTGTTCACTGAATGTAAAACAAACGTTTTAACCATAAAAAGACACAGGCATGCAGTTTGTTGAAGTTTCATATCGAAAGAAACTGATTTGGAAAAATGTTCTTTTGCCTGAATTATTGTCAGTTTGGTCCTTAAAATACCAACATTTCCACTTAATTTTATATTTTGGTCCTTCTGATGATGTAACTTTTAAATATTGAATGATTGATAATTTGATCAGTTACTCAGTACTTGAGTAAAATCTTTACCAAATACTTCTTACTCTTGCTTGAGTTCAATTACCTCTGCTACCAACGCACACAAACAAAACTCGAGAAATTAGGACTTCTCAAGATGTTGCTTAGATTTGAAGTCAAATCTTTCTGCATATCAGTTTATGCAGAAAAAATTGCATTTGTGTATTTAAAAAAATAGCTGTAAATTTTCTCATTGACGCCTCAGACGTCCAGAGTCGAAGCTCGAGCAAATATTCAAAATGAAAAAGTTGCGTCAGAGCTCTGCAACAGCTCTGTAATGAGCCTGAAGCTTTTTATGCGCGCCTCACAAAGCACACACAGTGTTTTCTTTGCTCTCCTCTCTCTTGCATCAGTGCATTTGTGTGTTTAGCTGCAGGAGCCCTCCTTGGCTCCGCGGACCCGTCGGTAATGTACTATAATGTTATAAAAGTGCCTTGCAGGCCGCCATCGAGCCGCCGCGGAGTCCAGATCACCAGCAAGGCTTTTATTTTACATTGTGAGCTTCCCCTCACTGCCAGCGCCACTGGAAACCAGACACACTGAGATGTTGGTCTTTGCTTATTGAAGGGCAGACTGTTCGGCAAAGCACTGCCACTGTTTATTTGAGGATGTTTAAACAGGGGGGTTGTCGTCGCCTCCTGTCTCCAAAAAGAGGAATAAAAAGAGACAGAAGGACAGTCGCACATGAAGAGCTTTGTTTCCCTCCTGCTTTGTCTCTTGACATGTGAGTCCCAGTTATGATAATGGTTTCTGACCACGCGCCGTTTCACCTGAGGGGGCAAAACAAATTCACAGGCCGGTGGCAGGGAAAATCGGTGACATTCAGGAAGCCAATAGCAGATTAACATCACTGATTTAGCCAGCTTTGCTTATGAAAGCAGGATAGAGCATCTATCTCATCTACGGCAGTTATTTTATTAATCAACTAATCGGATAAAAAAAAAAATGACACTATGAGGATTTTTCACTTAACTACTTAAGGCTTTTTGTATGCAATATTGGAAATACTTTTAAATGTGCAAAAAAAATGTTTACATAGAAAATGCACTGTTTGCCTAAAATGCAATGAAATATATAGATCTGTATATATTTTGACTAAATTTCTGCTCTGGCTGCGTTCTCTTGCATACTCCAGGTAATGATTATCAAATTAGTTTACAATTATTTTAATTACTCCGATTAATCACGATTAACCGTTTCGTCACTATATGCATCTTCTGCCTACAGTAGATCTACACTGTTGTGCAGTACTGATGTACTAGAACAATAACTTTTGTTCTTTTAGCAGGTGGTCTTTTTTAGAGATTTTAGAGTTAATCATGTACTCTAGTTAATGATTAATCGATAACTAAGTTGATTGATTAACAATCGATTAATCATAATTTATCAGATTATTTCAGTCCTCCTTCCACGGATGCTAAAAGTTATCTCTACCAGCAATGATCACAACACTGAAACGCTTTTGGCACTTCTGTAAACTGAGTATATAAACATGTATGGAGTTGGCGCAGGTCATATAATCATAATTTTTCTATTGTCCAACAGGTCAGCATCTGCCTGGAGTGCAACAGCAGCAAACTTCGAGGTCTGAAACGTAAATGGATCCGCTGCTCGGCACAAGCCACCGTCCTCCACCTCAAAAAGTTCATCGCCAAAAAGCTTAACCTGACATCGTTTAACGAGGTACAGAAAACAATGCATGGTTGAATCTCACCGAGTCACAAAATCTCTGAAAAGTCTATTTATTTCCGTACTTCTTCCATAGAATCTAAATTATATATCTTTGTGATTCACACAGCGGTATATTGCTAAAAATAATATATTTTTACAGGCTGATAGATCCAAGTATATCAGTGGAAAGTTGAGTGGAAGGAAACCGTGAGACTCCTTGGTTTTAACTTAATTGTATTGTTTTTATGTCCAAAGTTTGATGCTGAAAAGGTTTGGAAACTCTCCCTCCTTGAAAATGCTTGAAAAGTGCTTGAATTTTCCTGTGGGACAGATTTAGGTAATTTATCTTTTAATTCGCCAATTTAAGTCCATGCTTTGTCATTATTTATAGATTTTCAAGTACAACAGAAAGAAAGAGCCACAAGATGTAATATTAAAAAAAAAAACATTTTATATATAGTTTTGTCTGCAAGCTTTCTCCTGGGAAGCAAATATCTATGTGGTTGAGATGGGGCTGAATGATTAACCAAATTAATTGTTATATAAAATAGTCATCAATTAAGGTAGTGATTGATTAATTATTAAGTGGCGTACACAGTCTCTTGAAAGGGCAAATTGCTGAAAAATTTACATATTCAGATCAGTAAACTATACAAAGATTATATATATTTTGCATTTAAGATGGTAAATATTTGTCTGCAAATATTTTCTACCCAAAACTGTTCAAACGACAGTTTTAACTTCACCTGGTTCAAATTGTGTTAAACAAATTCCTATTAATTAATATATTAATCCAAAAAATAATCAACAAATGGTGTGTTTTTTTTAGCTGCAGATGCATCATTCGCAAAACAAATAATCACATGTTCATTAAAGGAATGCTATGCTATAGCATTTTAGGCAATGAAATTGTTGCTTTCTGATTTAAAGAAATTATTTGACTTTTTTGCTTATTGCATAGCTTAAAAATTGTGTAAAAAATGCTTTAGTGGTTAAATGAAAAATATGGTAATTTTTCTAACCAATTAGTCGATTTAATCGTAAAGTTTAGAGGAAATTTCTTGAATCTTCCTGCTTCTTTTACATGGTTAAAATAAAGTTTTTCCTTTTTATGCTGTGACTCATTCGTGCCCTTTGTGTTGGGTATAATTTGCATGAAAACAAGCCCTCATGATATCTAATTTTTCTATTTATTGTCTTCGCCGCCCCGTTCAGAGCAGCGGGGGGGAGGCGAGAGTGGGCGGTAATCTGACAGATGGATTTTTAGATGGCTGTGCAAAATCGCCACAATCGCCTTCTCGTTGCCTATTTTTCCTGTTTTTCCTTCGTGTCTTTTAATATTTTGGCTGCCACACAGATGAGTGGGTCGACTCCATCAGATCGTCGGCTTGCGCTTTACCCCTCCGGCTATTGTTGTGTTGTTCACCGACTGCGAAAAGATGCTTGAAACGACTCTGGGTTTTAAAACCGTTTACACATCAGTTTATACATAGCTGAACTCAGAATGACTTGGCAAGAAGTGTGAATTGCACCCGAACCTGTGTGTTGTTTCATAGATATTCTCTCCCGTTTGTTCCATAAGAAAATCAATAAAAATTAATTAAAACTCAAAAATATGATTAAATTAAGACTTTATGTGTAGTTTTATTATTTAAATCACACTTTTTAAAGTAAATTTAATTTTAAAAAATTATTTTTCAAGAGCAGCATTTGTCGTTCTATGATTGCTGTTAGCTTAAAAAGAAGTAATAAATTTTTTTTTTTATCTATCACAAGATATTGAGATTCAATTTGAAGTCCATATCGCCTACAAAAATTACCAGTTGTTGACATTTGCTGTTGGTAATTTATTGTAAATTTACAGCTTAAACTCTCTACATTGTTGCTAAAACAACTTTTAAAAGCAGAATTTAATATTTTCAAGTCAACATAAAGAAATGCAGACATTTAAACTATGCATTTCTGAATAACTATGATGGCAATTTCTGCCCTCTATATATATATATATATATATATATATATATATATATATATATATATA